GCTGCGCAGCCCTTCCCCTGGGTTGCTGCACGAACCCGTCTGCGTCCACCCGCGGGGGGGCCTTGTCGGAGCGGTACTCCTTCGTCCATGGGGGAGCACTGGTGCCGCACTCCTTGCACGTCCATCGCTTGTCACACCAGTTCCAAGCGTTACAGCCACGCTTAGCACACAACCAGTACGCCCGCCTCGCCAGCCCCGAGGCAACCTCCGACATGGCGGCACCCCGAGGGACTGACCGCTGCTCGGCCGAAACACTCTGCCCTGCAGGCGCGAAGGAACCCAAAGTAGGCGAAGCTTCTGGCTCGTGGCAGAGCGCCCCTCGCGCTCAAGAACGCCCGACGGACTCGCGGTCGTCGGGTGCGCCATGGCCTTGAGCCAAAATGGCTACGGACCGTGCTCCTGTGTGGTCTGCCGTGCTCCTGTGGTCTGCCGTGCTCCCCACAGGAGCACGGCAGACCGCGCGCAGGAACCGAGAGGAGCACGGCAGACCAAGACGAGGAGCACGGCAGACCAGGCACTTAGAAACCGAGAGGAGCACGGCAGACCAAGACGAGGAGCACGGCAGACCAGGCACCAAGAGCGCCCTCAAGACGACGGAAAGGATGACCAAGACGAGGAGCACGGCAGACCAAGACGAGGAGCACGGCAGACTATGCCCTAAGAGTGCCCTCAAGACGGCCGAACAATCATCAAACAAACAATGAGTCTAACGTCGTCTTGGAATCGTTTTTGAGGGCATCAGTACGGCCCCCCAAAAACAAAATCGGCCCAAAGATGACCCGCAGAGTGCCCTCAATACGGCCGACCATGACGATTTCGCTGGGGACGTGTTCAATAAATTAAGAGTGTATCAGCACCGTCTGCTGCAACAACGCTGTGCTGGTCTGCCGTTCTCCTGTGGTCAGCTGTGCTGCTCTGCCGTGCTCCTGCGGTCTGCCGTTCTGGTCTGCCGTTCTGGTCTGCCGTGCTCCTGTGGTCTGCCTTCCTGGTCTGCCGTGCTGCTGCCGTCTGTCGTGTTGCTGCGCTGTGCCGTGTAAGCTGATAAACCGGTCAGACCGATGAAGAAAACGAGAGTCGGGTTACAACGGCTACGCAGATTTAAACTGCTAGTCCAAAGGCTCTCCAGAGGACCCCAACATCTCCCAAGCACACCCCGAGAAGTCCATCATCATCATCATCCTCATCATCATCATCATCATCATCACATCATCATCACCATACTCATACTCATACTCATCATCATCATCCTCCTCCTCCTCATCATCATCATTATCATCATCGTACGCATCACCATCACCATCAGCAGCAACATGATCATCACCAACAACAGCAGCGTCAATGACATGATCTGGTCTGCTATGTTCCTATGGGCTGCCGTGCTGGTCTGCCGTGCTGGTCTGCCGTGCCGGACTGCCGTGCTCGTCTGCCGTGTCGGTGTGTTGTGCTGGTCTGCCGTGCGGGTCTGCTGTTCTGGTCTGCCGTGCTGAAGCTGAAGCTTTGGGGGCTTAAAGCCAGAGAAAGAGAGAGACATAGAGAGATAGAGAGGGAGAGAGATTCTCTAACTAAGGGGTACGGGCTCCATCCCGAAACTCGTTGGCGGTTCTCTAACTAAGGGGTACGGGCTCCATCCCGAAACTCGTTGGCGGATGACGGGAAGCGTCTTCGAGGTACGACAAGCAAGCGGGACGTTCTGGCTGAATCCTTGAGTAAATATATCTTTTCTTTAACTATATGGGTTGCCGCGCTGCACGGGATTTTTCGTTAACGGATTCCCCAAAATGGTCTGGCGTGCTCCTGTATGGTCTGCCGTGCTCTTGTGTGGTTTGCCGTGCTCCTGTGTGGTCTGCCGTGCTCCCGTGGGGTCTGCCGTGTCCTGTGTGGTCTGCCGTGCTCCTGTGTGGTCTGCCGTGTTCCGGAAAATTGGCCGTTTCGCTCGGGACGTCCTCAAAAAATCGGCTCCGGAGGGGACTCCGAAGCAGCATTATCTTGGAATCGCTCCCGGAGGGCCTCCAAACGGCCCAAGAAAGCCCCCGAAGGCCCCCCAGAGGACCCCCAGAGCGCCCCAAGAGACCCCCAAGAGGCCCCCAAGGGGCGGCCAGAGGCCCGCCAGAGCGCCCAAAACGCCCCAAGAGACCCCCAAGAAGCCCCCCAGGGGCTCCAAAGAGGCGGCCAGAAGTCCCCCAGAACGCGCGAAAAGGCTCCAGGAGTTCCCTGAGAGCTTCATATCGCCCCATAGAGCCCCCGAAGGCCCCCCCCGGGACTCCCCCAAGAGGCCCCCGAGAGGCCAGAGGCTACGACAGCCCCAAGAGCGTCCAAGATACCTCCAAGACGGCGCCGAAGCCAGGAAACGCAACAGGGATGTTCTCTGACGTTCTCGCCAATACGGTCTCTGACGCACGTGGTGGATAAAAAACTGCGCTTCCCGTTCTTGTCCGGTCAGGTTCCGGAAAATTGCGGAAAAATTGTCGTTCCGCTCAAAAAATCTAACCAAAACGCGCCCAAGACGGCCACCAGGGCTCCAAGACGGCCCAAGAGCGCTCCAAGACCGCCCTAGAGCGTTCCAAGATGCCCTAAGATGGCTTCCAGACGGTCCAAGAGAGCTCCAAGACGGCCCAGGAGGCCCTCAAGAGGCCTCCAAGACGCCTCAAGAGGCTTCGAAGAGGCCTCACAAGAGCGCCAAAGAGGCAAACATCTATGATTTTCGACTAGTTTTTGAAGGTTTTTGGGGTTCTCGCCTTTTCCGTTTCCCGACGCTCCAAGACGGCCCAAGAGGCCCCCAAGATCGCCCCAAGACGGCCCAAGAGGCCCCCAAGATCGCCCCAAGACGGCCCAAGAGGCCCCCAAGACGGCCCCAAGAACAAGAGGCTTCAGAATTGCTTCTAAGAGGCCTACGAGAGACCGACCACGACATCCCAAGGCTCCATTACGAACGATGACGTGGGCAGCTTCGAACGCCAGAGCTCCCAGTACGAACGCTGGCGTCCAGAGCTTTGACGACAAACACTGCTATGAGCAAAAACGGCGCTTCCCGTTCTTGTGCGGTCAGGTTGTGTTATAGATTGTCCTCTCCTGGGGACCAGAATTTAGAGGATCTCTCAAGTGAAATGCTTGGTTTCACGTGCCCAGGTCTTGAGGATGTCTCGAGCGAGACGCTTGGTTTCACGCCTCCAGGTTGCCCAGGCAGAGGTCAAGCGCCAGGATTTGTTGAGGATGTCTCGAGCGAGACGCTTGGTTTCACGCGTCCTCGTCGCCCAGGCGGATGTCTAGAATGAGGAGGTGTTGAGGAAGTCTCGATCGAGATGCTTGTTTGCACGTGTCCAGGTTGCCCAGGCGGATGCCTAGCATGAGGATGTGTTGAGAATGTCTCGAGAGATACGCTTGTTTTCACGTGTCCAGGTCGCCCAGGCGGATGTCTAACATGAAGATGTGTTGAGGATGTCTCGAGCGAGACGTTTGCTTTCACGTGTACAGGTCGCCAAGGCGGATGTCTAGAATGAGGAGGTGTTGAAAACGTCTCGAGCGAAACGCTTGTTTTCACGTGCCCAGGTCACCCAGGCGGACGTCTCACATGAAGATGTGCTGAGGATGTCTCGAGCGAACTACTTGTTTTCACGTGTCCAGTTCGCCCAGGCGGATGCCTAGCATGAGAATGTGTTGAGGATGTGTTGAGCGAAACGTTTGTTTTCACGTGTCCAGGTCGCTCGGGCGGATGTCTAGAATGAGGATTTTGACAGGATGTCTCGAGCGAAACGCTTGTCCCCAGCACGTTCCGTAGCGCGTCCCCTTGGCACGTCCCGCGGTGCGTCCCCATGGCACGTCCCCTGGCATGTCGCCTGGCGCGTCCCTTGAGACGTTCCGCGGCGCGTCCTCCTGGCATGTCCCCTGTCAATTAGCTCTGCGGCAGATACTATGTGTTCAGGCAGCTCGAGCTTAAGATCCAGATCAGTTCGGTCAGGACTCGGATGCAAAGGAGGACTCGATCCACGACGCTATAGAGCACAACCGCGGCATGGCACATCGCAATTCAGCACGGTGCAGCACAGCACAGACTTCGGCACGGTACATCAAGATCGATACAATCAGCATGCAACCTGGCACGTTCCTTGGCACGTTCCGTGGGGCGTCCCTTGGCGAGTCCCCCTGGCACGTCGCGTGGCGCGTCCCCTGGCACATTCCGTGGCACATCCATTGGCACGTTCCGTAGCGCGTCCCTTTGGCACGTCCTACGGTGCGACCCCATGGCACGTCCCCTGGCACGTCGCCTGGCGCATCCCTTGGGACGTTTCGCGGCGCGTCCTCCTGGCATGTTCCCCTGTCAATTAGCTCTGGGGCAGCTACTATGTGTTCAGGCAGCTCGAGCTTAAGATCCAGATCAGTTCGGTCAGGACTCGGATGCAAAGGAGGACTCGATCCACGACGCTATAGAGCACAACCGCGGCATGGCACATCGCAATTCAGCACGGTGCAGCACAGCACAGCCCTCGGCACCGTACATCAAGATCGATACAATCAGCATTGCACTTGCCCGTCACCCAATCAGGTGTCTTTGAAAACGCTGTCATGCGTTACATTTCTATATTCCTTTCCAGGTTCGTGGTTCGATCATGTTTGCGCCACTTGTTTCGAGCGGATGGAGTCTCCCCCCATGGGACGCGCTGTTGCAAACAGTCGCACGAAGCAGAGGTCTGGAGCCAGACCCCCCCCCTTCCCCCCTCTTCCGCCCAATGTCGAGACGCCGAATATGAAAACGTTCACCATCCTCGGATGTCTGGGAGCATGGAGAGGGGGGGGAGGGGGAGGTGGAGGGGGAGGGGGGGGGGAGGGGAGAGGGAGGGAGGGGGGTAGGGAGGAGGGAGGGAGAGGAGAGGGAGGGGAGGAGGGAGGGGGAGGGAGGGAGGCTGCACGCACGTCTCTCAACGTGCGCGGTGCCGCGTAGCCCCCGAGCGGCGTCGAGTCGAGCGTCGGGCGGTGGCTGGGCACTGCGGCCGAGAGCCTCGCAGGTCGAGCCGTTCCCGCGGGTGCTGGTCGTCGAGGCCGCCGCGCGCGCGCGCCTCTGGCGGCACACGCCTCGAGCAGGCTGGAGGTCCACTTGGCCCGAGCAGGAGGAGGAAGGTGTAGGAGGAGAGGAGGGGGGAGGAGGAGGGAAGAGAAGAGAGAAGAGAGAGGAGACAGGAGGAGGAGGGGGCGGAGCAGGAGGAGGAGGAGGAGGAGAGGAGCAGCAGCAGCGGCAGCAGCAGCACAGGGAGGAAGGAGCAAGGAGGGAGGAGGAGGGAGAGGGGTGGGGGAGGGGGGGAGGGGAGGGGAGGGGGAGGGGGAGGGGGAGGTGGAGGTGGGGGTGGGGAGGGGGAGGAGGAGGAGGAGGAGGGGGATGGTGAAGGGGGAGAGGTGGGGAGGAGGCAGTTGTTCTGGCACGCTGATCTTCTTCGATCGTCGGACCGGGGGAGCGCTGTCGCCCTGGCCAACACTCGGCCAAGGCGCGCTGGTCGGGGCGCTGCACCCAGAGGCGTGGCCGGCAGCAGGCGGAGCAGAGGCAATTGTGGCGTCTCGGTGGGCGCGAGGAGGAGCGCCGAGGCAAGGAGCTCGGGGGAGAGGAAAGGACCGGCGGCGCGCCGAGGGGGAAGTGAGAGGGGGCAGCAGGGCTCATTTCGACTCCTCCGATTCGACACGATTCGATATCGACGGTTTCCGATTCCACTTCGATCCGACCTCGGATCCCGATTCGGGCCCCGAGTCCTCACCGGACGCGCACGAGCCTGCCGATCTCCGCGGACTCGATGTTTCCCGGCTCGGCTGCCGATCTCCGCCGATCCGCTCCACGTCGATCGCCGATCCGACGCCTCGATCCGATTTTGGGGCTCTCCTTGGGGCAGGTCTGCTCCGAGGGCGGCGGGGCTTCTCGGGGGCCCTCCGGCCTTCGGAGCGCCCCCCGCGCCTGACCGCCGTGGGCTCCGCCGCCGAGGGGAGGAGGCGGCGGCAGGTGCGGGCCTGCCCCTGGCAAGGGGCACGTCTCCAGCAGTGCTCTGTCGGGCCTCTCCCCCCCTTGCAGGGGGATTTTCGACGAGAAATAAAAAACGCCCCAAGAATGCCCCAAAAAGGTCAAAAAATAATCAAAAAACAGTCCCCAGGCTATGTGTGGACAATTTGTTTGCTAGTTTTGGGGGTATGTTTTATTTTTCGTCGAAGGTCCCCCTGTAGGGGGACAGGCCCGACTTAACAGGAGTGTTGCCATCGGGTGGCCTGGCACGTGCGCAACTCTCAGTCTCACCACCACTGCCACCCGACGATTGCGCGAGCGCACTCCGCAGGCCTGCACCTCGGCGCGTACGAGGGCACACGACCATCCGAGCGGAAGAAGCGATACACGCGTGCACGCTCGAAGGAGAGTGTTCGTACGCCCGCATTGCGTGTGTCGATCGATGTATCCCGAGCCGTTGGCGTTGAATGTCACCCTGCCCCTCCTCAAGTCCGATTTGCCTTAATATCGCTTGGTTTCGACGTGTTTCGAGAGCCAGGCGACGTTATTTTCGCCACTGCTGGCTTCGTTTTTTCAATAGCGACTGGGAGCGATGACTGGCAGATCACACCGTACCAGACTATGGCATAGCAGCATTTGTATAATGAATAAGGCGTTGGATTGCATAACATACCGTAACATAGCATTCCACAGCAGCGCACAGAGTCGCAAAACAGCACATAGAAATGCGTCGCAGTACGTGTCATGGTGCACATTGGCATTGCGTTGCACAGCATAGGACCGCACTTGCATAGACAAGGACAGCAGAGCATTACTCGGAGCAGAATGGCACAGCATAGCGTGGAACGGCGCAGCAGAGCATCGAGCATGGTGATGGCAAGGGTAAGGAACCTAGATAAGGAGCCCAGGTTTGGAAGCCGATGTAACACCAATTGAGGTTTGGCCATGGATATCACCGCCGCCCTTATCAGCTAAGGAATCCTCCAGGGAGAAGCCTCCTGGGCACATTCCTTACCGAAATCCTCCTCCTCCTCCTGCACCTCATCCTCCTCCTCCTCCTCCTCCTCCTCCTCCTCCTCCTCCTCCTCCTCCTCCTCCTCCTCCTCGCCCCCACCGTCGTGGCACACAGCGGCATGGCATGACAAAGCAAAGCAGAGGGCGAGGCCACGGGGAGCCCCTCGGGACCCAGGCGGCGAGGCTGGCAGGCGGCGTCGGCCCACTTGCACAACAGGATACTCCAGACTTCGTAATAAAAGGGAGGGGGTCTGGACCCTCCAAGACAAGCCATTTCAGACCTCCCCCGTGGGAGAACCCTCCAAAACATCGTCCCCAGACCCCCCAGACCCTCCAAGATAGCCTGGAAGAGACCCCCCCCCCGAAATGAGACCCCCCTCCCTTTATTACGAAATCTGGAGTAGCCAGAACCTCCTGGAAAAGTAGGGTGTGGAAAAGCACGGAGGGCGTGCAGTCGGGAGATTTGGGGGAAGCGCAGCGTGTCGCTCCGCCGGCTCTGACCCACCACGCATCAGTGCGACACGTTGTCCACTTCGCGGTCCCCAGGCTTCCGCGTGCCGAGCTTTTCCAGCATCCCGCCCGCCCCGCGGGGCGGAGCGACACGCTATCCGCTTGCAAGGCCTAGCGAGTCGCCGGGGCCGCCGCCGCGACACGGTAAGCACAAGCTCCCGACCGTAATAGCCTGGTTCTGAGACCTCTGGGATCCTCACAGATCGGCATGCTGCGTCGGGAGTGTTGCATGACGTGTCCCTAGCCCGAGGTGCCCCGAGGAGGCCCTCACGGCATCCAGAGCACCCCTCATGAGGCCCAGAGGGCCCCACGGGCTCCAAGTAAGGAGCGAGAAAAGCTGGGGACACCTTGTGCCAGGGACACGTCTGGCAACACCCGATGGTGACGAGCCTGCCCGTCTGAAGATGGGCTCGAGAGCTCCGACTGTGATGCTCCCCCTCCTCCTCCTCCTCCTCCTCCTCCTCCTCCTCCTCCTCCTCCTCCTCCTCCTCCTCCTCCTCCTCCTCCTCCTCGTGCTGCACCCACGACGTGGGACGCCGACCGCACCCACCGCGCCAGGCGGGTCGTCGCAGGCCGCGCTGGCGGGCCGCCCTCTCCGATCCCGGCCGCGCTGCCGACGCCGTGGCCGCCATGTCCGCGGCGGGATGGCAGGGCGCCCTGGCCCTGGCAGCCGCCTGGCGCTGCGTGGCAGCGAGCTCGGGGGCACAGGCGCCGCGGGAGGATGAGGTGGACGACGAGGACGAGGAGACGGAGGGGTGAGGAGGAGTTGGAGTGAGGAGGAGTTGGACCAGAGCAAACCCAAGACGCACCAGCGATGTTGCAATAAACCCTTCCTAGTTCCCTCTTCATGGTTCCCTGCAAGAGTTGGTCTTCATTACGGGATGTGCCCCGTTGGAAGGCAACCGTCTGAGAAGCATCAACCGTGCGAAAACAAATTCTTGGGACTTCAACTCCGCGAATCAACATGATTGCTGCGTCCTGACAATCCTTCATCGCGCCAACACCGAGAATCAACTTGACTGCTGCGCCCTGGCCATCCAAAGTCGTGCCAGAACACCATGCCTGGGAGTTAAGCCATACGATTCCTTGAAACTGCTACGAACTTACAGGGGATGCGCGCGGCGCTAAGGCGAGAGCCACCTGTTGAAAAGGAATTGCCATCTTTACCTAAAACTGATGTAAAGCGTTTAGACGAATGTGCGCAGCGCGCCAAGGCGAGAGCCGCGTTTTGAAAAGGACCCGCCCTCCATCCTTGAAATTGCTGCAAGCGTTCAGAACGAATGTATGTGCGCGGCGCTACTGCGAGAGCCAAATATTGAAAAGACACCCTCCATCATTGAAACTGTTATTAACTTGTATGGCGAGTGCGCTCGGCGCTAAGGCGAGAGCCACATCTTGAAAAGGAACCGCCCTCCAAACGTGAAACTTGAAACAGTTGCAAACTGTTAAGATAAATTTGCTCGGCGCTAAGGCGAGAGCCACATTTTGACAACCGCGCGCCCTCCAAGTGTGAAACAGTTGCAAAGGTCAAGCTTCAGAATCAGAAACTCCGGGCAAGTCTCAGGCGTGACGCCCACCCCGCCCTATCGACACGTCTGGGGGTGCAACAGGGAGGAGCTATTCCCCAAACAGTGCTTGCATTGAGGGCTTCTTGCTTCTTTTCTAAGGAACTAGGCCTGGCTGGCAGTCTGGCGGTTCCGTGCTCGCCGTCGCCGCCCCGTCGCCGCACCGTCGCCGCCTCGTCGCCGCCCGTCGTTTGGGCCTGGGTGGCGGTCTGGAGGCTCCGTGGTCGCCGTCGCCGCCCCGTCACCGCCTCGTCGCCTCCCGTCGTCTGGGCCCGGGTGGCGGTCAGGCGGCTCCATGGTCGCCGTCGCCGCCTCGTCGCCGCCCGGCCGCCGCTTAGATTTTACAAAGTAGGTTGCACCACATAGATTGCAGAACAAACCAAGTTGCGGGTGGGTGGGTGGAATGTTTGCGCGAGCAGTGGAGTGGACAACTCGTTGCGAACAGAAATTACTTGCAGAACGTAGTTTTGCACCACATATATTGCAGATCGTAGACTGCCCAATTTTGAAAACGGGCCGCCGTCAATGCAAAAGCCCAGCCCGCCCCAACTACGCGTCTGTTGGCGCGAGAAACATGATTTATTCATAAGGATGGAGGAGGAGGAGAAGGAGGAGGTGGAGGAGGAGAAGCCGTCAAGTTCTCTTGTTCCTCTCCTTCTTCTCTCCTCCTACTCCTCCTCCTCGTCCTCATCCTTCCCCCTCCCTCCTCCCTCCCTCCATCCCTCCCTCCCTCCTCTTTCCCCTCCCCGCGTTTCTCCCTCTCCTGGCTCGGCGGAGCAGGTGCCGCGCAGGCTCGTGGCGAACGCGGCGCCGGGCCAGCCCCGCTACTGGGTCAAGCTCAGGCTCGACAGGGGGCCAGTGCCTGGAGCAGTGGGGGCGAAGCTGGAGCAGAGCAGGAGCAGCAGGGGAGCCGAGGATGCCTGCGTGGTATGATTTGGGGGCGCCTTCACACGCCAGTCGCTGGAAGTGTGTGTGTATCTTTGGGCTCCCAGCTCCCAGTCTACTTCAAGCGCCTTCCTGCTGCAAGAGTCGGCATGCTCGTGCCGTGCTTTGTTATTCTCTGGGACGGCCCGGACCCAATCCACTTGGTCCGCCTTCCTATCTCATGTTTTCATCCACTTCTTCCGACCGACGTGCACCCCGTTGTTAGAGCCAGAGGCCTATTGCTCCTCCACGGCGTATCACTCAAGAACGGGGCCACGATGGGACAAAACGAGGCGTCTGTTTGACGTTGCCAGAGACCCAACTGGCCTCGTCCAAGCACCACGTCCTGCCAGGAGGGGGACGGAGGAGGGGGTGCTGGTGGTGGTGGTGGCACAGACGGTGCGGCGCCGCATGCGCCGACCGCGGTCGTGAGCTGAGAAGAAGAAGGTGGCGCGAAGATCACACTGCACAGAAGGATGGATCGAAACACGTGGTCGTGGACCGACATCTTGGGCCGTTCGCGCATGAAGGGCGGGCTTCAGACGAGGAAGGCGAGGTCATTGTGAACGTGGCCGGCGGCCACGGGAGCTACGGGCATGAGGACGGCTGGTGTGCATCGTCACAGATGAAGCGTTCCAGAAAAGCCCTCGCTATCGAGGATCAAAGGAGTTATCATCTCTTCATCGGCGGAAGGCGGTGGAAGTAAAACGAGGCCGCCTCCGCCGGCAGAAGCTGGTTGAAGGGCGGCGGAAGGTGGCGGAAGTAAAAGATACGCCTCCAAGAGATCGCAACATTGTTTCAAATCAGCGCTTCCACTGAAGGGGTCCTGGCGGATGTTGAAAGATTTGGCGAAAGTGCCCCGTCGATTTCGGTAGGCGGCTGGCTTCCTGGGTTCCTGGTTCCGGGTTTCCCGGTTCCCAGTTGCTGGTTCAGGGGCGATTTCGGTGGTAGGTAGGGTTCCCAGGCTTCCGGGTTCCCGGGTTCTTGCACGATCTCCTTAACGATCGGTCTCACCATCGATCTCATGATTCGCTTTTATATCGATCTACAATCGATCTCACGATCGATCTCACAATCGATCCCACTATAGACCGCACGAGCGGTCTTACGATTGATCTCACTCTCGATCTCACAAAATCCACTTCACGATCTGTCTTGCAATCGACCTTTTTATCGTCCTCACTATCGATCCCAATGTTTAATATCACTAAGATCTCACAATCGATGTCACTATGCATATCACTAATTCTCAAGCCATCTTCTGATTTGTTTTTTCTTTGATGTAGTTGGGTTCAGGGTTTCATCCACCCAGCTTAGCCCGCATCCCAATCAGCTATGTTTGCGATCGGGTTTGGCCTCTGAGTCGGAGCACGTTCTGGAGTGTCATGCGATTGCCAACGGGTATGCCAGAGTCGGAGTAGTTCGATGTATTTCGGATATGCGGATATTTGAACTTGAGTGTCTGATCACGTGCAATGAAGTAGCACATCCACGCTTCACATCAGTAGCCGCAGAGAGGAAGATTGCGTTCGCTGGTCGCGTAAGGTATTCTGATGGTGTCAGTCACGGTGGCCGCAAGCAAAGGGTCCTCAAGCGGCATGGTCGGTGTGGCGGTGTTGACGGTCAAGCAGACAGCAGTGTTCGGCAGATGAGCGCTTTTGTAGAACATCGTTGTTGGCAACCTCTTGAGCATAGCACACCGATGATGTTGTCAACTGGCTGGCATTGGGATGTTGACCGCCAGACGAGCGGTGTTGGTGTTGCTAGGCAATTGCGATGGAGGTCGCGTAGCTGTCGAGATTGAGCCCTTCCGCTGTACCAGAGTTGCCGCCGCAGTGGCACCTGCACCGCGCTGCGGCGCCGGCAGTCCTCGAAGTAGTGCGCGAGTCTCAGGCAAGTCGGGGGGCTCTGAACGGCCGTTGTAATTGTAGGACGTTGTGTGGATTGTGCGAAAAGGAACCATTCCGCCGTGGGCAAGCCTCCACGGTTGCATCTGCTCTGCCCAGTGGCGCGGCTTGGGCTGTCTACGGAACACGTTGCTGTCGGTGGTAGTCAGAGAATTGTGGTCTGATGTCGGTCGTTGTGGAGAAAATCCTGCGGGGATGAGGGCTGGTGGTGAAAACCAGGGACATCCTGGGCAGCTGGGACGTGCGGCTTCCTGGCGCAAGCTGAGCGGCCGCGGGCGGGCACGTCAGTCCCCCACCCCCCGGTGCCCTTCTGGAGGGCCGGGGCCGTGCGCAGCGCGGCGTCTACAGAGCCGCTCAGCGGCATCCAGAGATGGCCCTCGCCTCCACTGCGGGGCAGGGGCGTGCACGAACGGGGGCTTTGCCCCGTCGCAGGCGGCCAGAGGAGGGCCTGCCGTAGAGATTCCGGGGTGTGTGGGGGCCTCGGGTCACGTGGAGGAGGGGCCGTGCGGCGCGCTGGACTCCTCTGCGCGCGGGGTACCTTGCGTTTCTTTGCCTTCCCTGCGCCCTGCTTCGGCTAATGGCACTGGTGCGCGAGTTCTGCCGACACCTGATTGCTGGCTCCCTTCGGGGGCGGAGCCTGGGCATAAGGTGCGCGGGGCCTGCCAGCATTGTCTGCCGAGGCGGCTCGCGTAGGGCTGCGGCTGGGAAAGGGGGGTGCCCTGTGTTGCGGGGGGGTCCTGCTCGTCGTCGTCCTCTTCTCTGGGGGCTCGCCCAATTCTGGCTTGTATAGCTGATCATCCGCCGGCGCCGAAACGTGCCCCTTTCTTGTCTTATCAGCGCGACGTTGATATCCCTGACTTGGGGGGGTCTCCACCCCCTGCGCAAGGACGGAGGCCCAGAAGGGCGGAAGCCGCATTCTCCTCGGCTGCGAGCTGCGTTGCAGGAGCTTTTCACAATTGACTCCGCCCCAGGGTGGCCACGAGGGGGCTCTAGAGCGATTTCTTCTTGACCCCATGTTGCTTTTCTCGGCCTTCGGCCGAGGGCGTCTAGCTTCAGGCAGCCTGTCGCCATCAACTCCAAGAAAACACGTGAAAATTGGAGATGTGGGGCATGTGGAATGCAGTGATGGTTCGTCGATTTGGGGCGCGCAAAGGTGGACCAGTTTGGATATGAGGTGCATCCTGGTTGACGGTTGACGCAGGGGTCAAGGCGGAGCTGCATTAATGGGTCAAGCTGTGTGCGCGTGGGGGGATCTGCGCCCCTAGGACGCGTCGGACGTGAAGGCGCACGTAGGAGGCTCGCCATCGTAGCGACGGCAATCGTGTGTGATGATCCGCCGCAGGCAGTGCTTCGGCCACGCACGCGAAAGTGGGACCCTTCGCAGCATCGACCTCCGGCGCGGGGCCCCAAGGGGTCCCGCCAGCACTGGCTGGCGCTCTTGGGCTGCGCCGAGGTGACCTCCGCCGCGGCCCCCGACAGCCGCGCGCCAGAGCTCACTCGTGCCTAGGGCCACTCCGGCGTGCAGCCAACTGATCTGCGACCCGTCGAGCGGCGTAAGTCGGCGTACCTCTCTGTGCGGGGCGGCGGGACCAGGTGCCGCTGCGGGCCGCTCCCCCGCTGGATGCCCGCCACCGGCCGGCCGTGGAGGATCCACTTCGGGCACCGCACTCCCGCTCTAGGAGGGGCGGAGAGAGTCGAAGAAGAGAAAACGGCATGCTCATGAACCGTTGGAGGTCCGCGCGGGTCTCTCGGATCGACGCCTGGGCCCCCCATGGCGGCGCGCCAGAGAAGGGTGTCCAGCGCCGATCCAGGAAATGCGCGCGGAGCTCCAGAAGTTCACGCTCATGTCGTTCCGTGCTCTTCTAGGGAGCGCGAGGGATGGAAGGAGAGGTGGGGCAGGGGGAGGGAAGAGGGGCTGGGCGGCAGGTCGCTGGACCCCGCCGTCGGCGAACTCGAGCCACCGTTCGCCGAGGACGGCACCGGGTTCAAGCTGGAGCTGGACGACCCCAAGCTGGGGGAGCTGAGGCGGCCAGGGCCCGTGCGCCACGCAGCGGCCGGCAGCGGCAGCCTCCCCGCGCCAGGGCACGGAAGTCGAAGGACAAGAAACGGCAGAAGCCTCATTTTCTTGACCTCGCCCTCGCCCTTGCCCTCGCCGGCCCTTCCCAGAGGCACCAAAAGATGGCATTAGCATGAACTATCGGAGCCCTCCGCCCGCATGTCTTGGCTCGGCGCTGTGCCCCCCCGTCGCGGTCCGCGCGCCAGGCAGGGGGGGTCCAGCGCCGATCTGGGAAGCTTGCGCGGAGCTCAGCAAGGTTGTGTGTGCATGCCGTCTCTTGTGCCTCTGGCAGGGGCCAGCCAGGGCGAGGGCGAGCTTGGGGGGAGAGCTCCTCCGAGCTGGAGAGCTGCTGGGCAGGGGGCATCGTGCCAAGATGCGCTGGGCGGATCGGCGGGCAGGGGCGTGCTTCTCGTGGCGCCAGCGTCGCAAAGCGGACTTCGTCCGGAAGACAATGGGATGGGCCCGGATTGTCCTGGAGAATGTCGTTGCTGATTTCGAAGTGAATATCGTGCGGAATCTGTTTCCCCAGGAATGAAGCCTGCAAAAAAATCACTTGAAATTCACTTCGTTTTTCGCTCGTCGTTTCGGGGTTCTGCATTGACAGAAATCCACGCAAAAGTCAGCTGCAGCACCTCTGCAGGGTCGGTGCAGTGATGCGTCAGGCCGGCGTCGGAACGGGCGGACTGAGGCGTTTCGGGGGGCGGGGGGCGAGGAGTAGTTGCGCAGGGCGAGCGTGATTGAGGCGCTGGCTGGGCAGACAGTGGGCCGTCAAATTCGAGAGGATCGGTTCTGCCGGCGAGCGCCTGGCAGTGGCATATGTTGGCAACGGCGATGGCGAGGACAGCACCTCGCAGCTCCAGGGAGCATTTCAAGTAGATTTGTCACAGATGCTGAGGATGAGGAGTCGGGGAGGGCTGTGAGGGGTTCGGCGAGATTGCATACGCGTGGGCTTTGGAATGACTTCTCAAGTTCTGTCACTCGGAGCCATCGAGTAACTTGACCTCCGCTGTCGGTTTGCATGCCGCTCTGTTGCGTTGTCTTACGCTCGGCGTTTGATCATGTATTTCTGTGCTGGGCAATGGGCTTCTATGAAAGTAACCTGACAGAGAGGGAGCCATAGCAGAGTATCCTGCAAGTGCTGGTTATACGGCCGTCCGCCTAGGGATAATATGACATAATGTCTTATGTCTCCCTCTCCCTGCGCCTTTTTGTTGTTCTCTCTCTCTCTCTCTATGTATCCCTTCCTCTCTCCTCTCTCTCTCTCTCTGTTTCTCTCTCTCTCTCTCTCTTTCTCTCCTCCTCTCTCTTTCTCTCTTTATGTATGTATGCTTCTCTCTTGCTGTATATACATATATACACACATAATATGTGTACGTATGTGCATGTATGCGCATATGTGTGTATATATACGCACATCAGTACCCCTCAAACTACGGAGTCGGAAACAGTGAGACACTGGTGGGGGCACTGGTGGGGACAGCGAGGACAATGGCGGGAACAGTTGGGACTGTGGGACAGTGGTGGGGACGGGGGTGGTGGGGACAGTGCTGTGGGGACAGTGGGAATGTGGTTGAAACAGTGGGACAGTGGAGGGTACAGTGGTGGTGGGGACAGTGGTGAGCGGTGGCGAGGACGGCGGTGGGATAATGGGACAGGTACAGTGAGGACGGTGGTGGGGACAGTGGGACAGTGGTGGGAACAGTGGGACAGCTCAGTGGGACAGCGGCGGGGACAGTGGGACAGTGGGACAGTGGGGACAGCGGGGACAGTGGGACAGTGGTTGGGGCCGTGGAGAAAGTGGGGAGAGTGGAACCGTGGTGGGAACAGTGGCGGGGACAGTGGGGACAGTGCGACAGTGGTGGGGGCACTGGTGGGGACAGTGGGGACGCTGGTGGGAACAGCGGGGACAGTGGTGGTGAGGACAGTGGCGCTGGGGACAGCAGTGGGGGATGTGGTGCGGACGGTGGTAGGGACCCGGGAGTCGTTTTGCTGGCGGTGAGCGTGGGGGGGGGAGGGCTTCGAACCGTAGTGACCCCCCCCAGTTTTCGAGGGGGGGGGATGTGGTTCGAACCGGTAGTGACCCCCCCCCGGTTTTCGAGGGGGGGTTCAAACCGTAGCGACCCCCCCCCCCCCGGTTTTCGAGGGGGAGGGGGGGGGCGTTCGAACCGGTAGTGACCCCCCCCCAGGTTTTCTGGAAGGGGGGGGCGGGTTCGAACCAGTAGTGAACCCCCCCCGGTTTTCCGGAGAGGGCGGGGGGGGGGGTTCGAACGGTATGGGCCCCCCCCCCCCGGTTTTCCGGAGGGGGGGGGGATAGGGGAGGGGGGGGTTTTGTCGGGGAGGAGGGAGGAGGGGATTAGAGGTCAGCAGGGGGGGGGGGGGGGGGGGGGATTTTCGAAGGGAGGGGGGTGGGGGGGCCGGGTTCCGGAGGAAGAGGGGGGGGGATTTTTCCCACAGTGAAGCGGCAGTGGATCACGCTCTCTCATTGCATTGGGAACTCTAGAAGCTTGGAGATGCCTCGAGACACGGTGGCGGATACATGTACGTTGGTCTTTCTTCTTTTCTTCTCACTCTCTCTCTCTCTCTCTTTCTCTCTCCCGCTTTCTCTCTCTCTCTCTCTCTCTCTCCTTCTCTCTCTCTCTCTCTCTCGTTCTCCTCCCTCTGGCGACCCATGGGATGGTAATCCTCCTCACGCAGACACGGCTTCGCCTGGGCTGTCACGCACCCGCCAGACAGACCGCACCCCAGTGGTCCTTTTGCTGCCATCCCTCGAGGCCAGCAACGCGCGTGCGGCGGAGCACCCCCCGCACCGCGGTCCACAGTTGCCGCCAGCGGTTGCGCTGTGTTGGAGTGCAGGTGCTGGCTGGCGGGGGACGAGCCCCCCTTTGCTCCTCCTTCGGTTGCCGCCCCTCTCGAAGAACCAATGAGGACCAAAAAATGTATGAACATTCATTTTCGGAGCTCCGCGCAGATTTCTGCGCGCGGAGCGCGCCAGGGGCGGCGACGGAGGCGCCAGGGGCAGCCGCCGCAGGTCCGTCGCCTCGTCCCAGGTCCTGCGCCTCTGAGCTGCACACCAGCCGCAAGCGCGGGGCGCGCGCCCGGCTAGTCCGAACGGCGCCCGAGCGGACACCCGCTTGAATCGGTGCGATCTCTTTTTTCTCTCTCTCTCTCTCTCTCTCTCTCTCTTTCTTTGTTGATTTCTCTTTCTCTCTCCCTCTGTATTCCTCTCTCTCTCTGTACATATGTATATCTACATACATACATACATACATACATACATACATACATACATACATGCATGCATGCATGCATGCATGCATGCATGCATGCATGCATACATAGATACATACATACATACATACATACATACATACATACATACATACATACGTACATACGTACATACGTACATACGTACATACGTACATACGTACATACGTACATACATACATACATACATACATACATACATACATACATACATACATACATACATGCATACATCGCTATGTGTATCATTGTATACGGTTGTATATGCCTATACGAGAAGGACAAGAAGCAGAAGGAGGCGGGCGTGGAATCTTCCCACCGGGGCCCAAGTCTTCGAATTCGATGATTCGGTATCCCAGAGGCGGAGAACTTCGAGACGGGAAGACGCTGCCTTCGATCTGGAGCTTTTGCATTCATCCGGTTCGCATGCGCCCAGCCACGTCCAGAGGGCACAGGGAAGCATATGCCGCTCCGGGACGTCGGCCCTCGGCGGGTTGCACATGCTCCCGTGGCCGTCTGGCCTGTTCCCCCTCGCTGAAATAGCCTGCCTTGCTCTCCTGCAGGTTCGACGACCCTGCCAGCATTAGAAGCGTTTTGGGCCCGTCTGTGGATCCTGCAGTGGGGGAGCTCAGAGCCCCCGCGGGGTGGAACGCGCGCCCCTGAACAGGTTGGACATGGCCCTGAACCGCGACAAGTACAGCGACGAAAAAGACGATCTACCTGAGATCCTCGTGGACGGGTACCCTGGGCCAGAGGGAACCCGCGAGTGCCGGCGGCAATGGCAGGAAAAACATGAGGAGTACGACACGGCGAAAGATAAGAGATCAGGCAAGAGAGATAGGGAGAGAGGAAGAGGGAGAGCGAGAGTGTGTGTGTGTGTGCGCGTGTGCAAGAGCGAGGGAGAGATAGACATACAGACAGACAGACAGACAGACAGACAGACAGACAGACAGGCTGGCTGGCTGGCTGGCTGGCAGGCTGGCAGGCAAGCAGGCAGGCAGGCAGTGAGAAAGAGAGAGAGAGAGAGAGCACCGATCCCGGGGCCAGTGCGGGCCTGGCCAGGATCGGTGTGCACGCTCGTGCATGCTCACAGTGCTCTTCGCCCGAAGAAGAGGGCCCGACCCGGCCAAGAGCTCTGGCCGGGCATGTCGCGCCGCCGGCTCTGGCCCACCACGCTTCGGCGCGACGCGCCACCCACGTCTGGCCACCGAGCTTCCTCCTCCTCCTCCTCCTCCTCCCCCTCCTCCTCCTCCTCCTCGTCCTCGCCCTCCTCCTCCTCCTCCTCCTCCTCCTCCTCCTCCTCCTCCTCCTCCTCCTCCTCCTCCTCCTCCTCCACCCCCCGCCCCGCCCCCCGCCCTCAGCCTCAAGTCGGGCCTGTCCCTCTACAGGAGGAATGCTCAAAAATGGTCGAAAAATCATACTGGGACGATTTGTTTTACCACTTTTGAGTATTTGGGGGGGGGGGGTGTTTGACTGTTTTCATGTTTCGTCGAAGATCGGCCTGTAGGGGGACACGCCCGACTTAACCTTAGCCCCATCGCCCCGCGGAGCGGGGCGACACGCCCTCCGCTCGCAGGGCATACAGCGGGCACCTACAAGAAGAAACCGCCGGCCTGCCGGCAGATGCCCCACGGAAGCTCCTTGTTTCTCCGACGGCTTCGGGTTCAAGGGAGGAGAAGCCATTTGGACCCGATAACAGGCGTTTAGTGGACGGCCCTGGGCCTTTACTAAACAGCCCTGCCCTGTTCGATTCCTTCTCTGGGCGCGCAACGCGTTTCCGGCACGACTTCGGCGCGTCGGGGTGGTTATCAGGGTGGGGGGGACTTGGGATTTGTTGACCTCTGTGGGTGGTCCATGGAAGCCCTGGGGCACCTCAGAAGTCTCAAGCCTCGACGGCGAGCGTGCCCCCCCAAAAAAAAATCAAAACGGCTTGTGGCAAGACTTCCGTCTCGCGTGCGCCTACCCCCATGTAGCTTTTTCGCCAGGCCGCCGTCGACACAACGAAGCCTCCGCCTTCCCCTCCTCCTCCTCCTCCTCCTCCTCCTCCTCCTCCTCCTCCTCCTCCTCCTCCTCCTCTCTCCTCATCCTCCTCCTCCTCCTCCTCCTCCTCCTCCTCCCCCTCCCCCTCCCCCTCCCCCTCCCCCTCCTGACAAGAACGGGAGCACTTGGCGGCGTGCCGTCCCGCTGGTCGAGGCCCGAGGCCACGCGGACGGTGTGGTCCTGGCCTCGGCGGGCGGGCGGGCGAGCGGGGTCCACTCCGGGAGCGGCACTCTACCCCCCGGGGCGTCCATGAGGCGCAGCGCTCGCAGGGAGAGGCACAACGCCCGGGGACCTCGAACCTCTCGACCCCGAAGTTCCGATGTTTTGGGGGTTGGGGGGGGGGAAGGGGGGGCGTTTTCGGTGGTTCTCGGCGGCTCTCCGGGCCCCCCGGGGAGCCTGCCAGCGGCCGCGCCTCGCCGAGAGCGTGCCAGGGGGCGCCCAGGTCGTCCCGGGCGGCCGACGCAGGGCCGAGAGCTGCCACGCGAAGACCGCAGGGGCAGCGTGAGGGGGTGGGAGGAGGAGGAGGAGGAGGAGGAGGAGGAGGAGGAGGAGGAGGAGGAGGAGGCGGAGGAGGAGGAGGAGGAGGCGGAGGAGGTGGAGGAGGAGGAGGAGAGAGGAGAGGAGAGGAGGAGGAGGAAGGAGAGGAGGAGAGGAGGAGGAGGAGGAGGAGGAGGAGGGGGTAGGCTTAGGTCGGGGCATGTCCCCCGACAGGCCGATGTTCGACGAAAAAATAGAAACTACTCAACCAAGATTCAAAAATGGTCAAAAAATATGCGAAACATCGTCCCCTGACGATTTTTTATACTATTTTTGAGTACTCCTGCTGCAGAGGGACGTGCCCGACTTAAGGGTAGGCGCAGGGGGGGGGAACCATCGACCTCCAGTCGCCCATTCATCGCCGATCTGGGGACCTGCAGCCCCCCCCCGACCAGGAACGTGCGGATTCGCTATCGGGGGCCATCGCCGATCCATAGGCGATGTATCTCCGATGCCAGGGCGATTTTCCCCCTCTGAGCTGGTCCCCCACGATCGTTTCCCCTCAATTTGTCTGGGCGCGCTGTTATGGTTGTGGGACGGGAGTTCGCTCTCTTCGGGAGGCTCTGGCACGCTGGCAGGGCCCAGGATGCAGCCTGAGGGCTCACGGGGGCGAAATCCAAGCTGACCTGAGGCTGAAAGCTGGCCGCATCCAGGTTGCACAGTGATGCTGTCCTTCAACTTGAGGAAGAAAGCGGGCTCGTGAGACAAGAGTGCGTTGCGCCTGTGGATCTTCTCACGTTCATTGGCCGTTGCCTTCATGGCCCCGATACTTATGTAGCTTGATTTTGCTTACATGTGAAAGAGCGTGTTCTACCGCTGCTGGCGGAAAACCGGGGGGGGTCACTACCAGTTCGAACCCCTCCCCCCCCACCCCCCCCCCCCCCTCCCGGAAAACCGGGGGGGGGTCACACCGTTCGAACCCCTCCCCCCCCCCCCGCTCATCATGAAAAGGGGGGGGGGTCACTACCGGTTCGAACCCCCTCCCCCCCCCCTCGAAAACCTAGTGGGGGTGCGGACAGTGGTGGGGACGGTGTTGGTGGGGACAGTGGTGAGGGGACAGCGGGACAGTGGTGGGGACAGTGGGGGGACAGTGGGACAGCGGTGGGGAGGGTAGTAGTGGGGACAGTGGTGGGGACAATGGCGGGAACAGGGGGGACAGTGGACAGTGGTGGGAACGGTGGTGGTGGGGACAGTGGTGTGGGGACAGTGGGAAGAGGTGGAAACACTGGGACAGTGGAGGGTACAATGGTGGTGGGGACACTGGTAAAGGCGTCGGCGAGGACGGCGGTGGGACAATGGGACAGAGGTACAGTGGGGACAGTGGTGGGGACAGTGGGGACAGTGGTGGAAACAGTGGGACAGCTCAGTGGGACAGCGGAGGAGTCAGTGGGACAATGGGGACAGTGGGGATAGGCAGTGGTTGGGTCCGTGGAGACAGTGGGGAGAGTGGAACCGTGGTGGGAACAGTTGTGGGAACAGTGGGGACAGTGCGACAGTGGTGGGGGCACTGGTGGGGACAATAGGAACGGTGGTGGAACCAGCGGGGGCAGTGGTGGTGAGGACAGTGGTGCTGGGAACAACAGTGGGGGATGTCATGCGAGCGGTGGTAGGGACCCATGGAGATCTTTGCTAGGCGGTGCGTGGGAGTGGGGGGGGGAGTCGAACGGTGAGACCCCCCTCGCGGTTCGAGGGGGGGGGGGGGGTTTCCAACCGGTAGTGGACCCCCCCCTGTTTTCCGGATCCGAGGGTGGGGGGGGGGGAGGGAGGTGGGAGGAGGGTTTTTCAGGAACCGTAGTAAGACCCCCCCCTTTTCAGGGGGAGGGAGAAAGGGGGGGGGGGGGGGGGGGGGGGGGGGGGGAGGGGGGGGGGGGGGGGGGGGGGGGGGGGGGGGGGTGGGGGGGGGGGGGGGGGTTTAGGGAGGGGGGGGGGTTTTGTCGGAAGTGGAGGGGTGGGGGGGGGGGAGGGGTGCGGAAGAGGGGGGGGGGGGGGGGGGGGGATGGGTTTCCAGCAGGGGGGTGGAGATTCGGAAGGGGGGGGGGGGGAGACCCCCGGGTTCCGGAGGAAAAGGTTGGCAATTTTCCACAGTAAAGCGGCGGTGGATCACGCTCTCTCTTACATGTGGGTCTCCAGATCCGCCATGTTAGACTCGCCCTTGGTATGCCACAATGATCTCCGATGTCCACGTGTCTGATTTGCGCCTCGTCGATCCTGTTTTGTTGCGGTTGCCCCACTGCGTTCGCATGATTCCGCTTGAGACGAGCAGTTCGCGCATCGTGTGTTGTTACACCATACCTCTTGGCAATATGACAGAACACACAGCTTTCGAACCACACCTCTTCGCGTAACTGGAATCGTGTAACGAGGTGAATAAGTTCACGCTCGAACGTGTTAGAATCAGACGCGTGGTCCCAAAGTAGCTGCAGATGTGAGGGTCCTCTGCGCCCACTGGACAGATAGAGCCATAAGGCTTGCCCATGCTACCACCCATGCAACTAAAAGCTGCAATGGCATTATGTCCCAGCCATCCTGTGGTGTTGGGCTCTCGTTTTGAAGAGCAAGCGCCCCGCGTCCTCCTCCTCCTCCTCCTCCTCTCCACCCCTCCTCCCTCCTCCTCCTCCTCATCCTCCCTCCTCCTCCTTCCTCCTTCCTCCTCCTCCGCCTCCTTCCTCCTCCCATCCATGCCTCTGCCTTTCGCATGGCCACGTCTACACCCATAGGGAGCTCCACCGAAGGCCCCAGTGGCTGCATTCGCATGGCACCACAGCACACGTTTCGGCACTCCCCTCGCATGTTTCGTGGCCTTATAAGGAGTTCCACCGAAGGCCCCAGCGGTTGCATGGCACCGCCTCGTCCATTTCGGCGCGCCCCACGCACGCTTCGTAGCCCCATCGGGAGCTTCACGGAAGGCCCCAGTGGTAGCGGTCCCATGACACCGCCGTATTTATGTCTTCATGTTTCACACGTTTCGCGGCCCCATGAGAGCACCGAAGGTCCCAGCGGTTGCGATCGCATGGCACCGCCCGTGTCGGCAGATTTTCCCGGAAAGGGCGCGGGCCCAGGGTTCTCTTTTTCTATGTAAACATGTCCCCGGTGCCCAACTTGAAGGAGGCCGGCGGATTCTTTCCCTGATAAATATCGAGGTCGAAGGAGGCCGGCGGATTAAAATTTGAGGATGTCTCAGGCGAAACGATTGTTTTTGAAATCCCGATCGATAAATCACAGGGTGCGGGCCACCTCAGCACGACCGCATCCCATCACGACCACGCCCCAGCACGACCGCGCCCCAGCACGACCACGCCCCAGCACGACCACACCCCAGCACGACCACACCCCAGCACGACCACACCCCAGCACGACCACACCCCAGCACGACCACACCCCAGCACGACCCCACCCCAGCACGAGCCCACCCCAGCACGACCACACCCAAGCACGACCACACCCCAGCACGACCACACCCAAGCACGACCACACCCCAGCACGACCACGCCCCAGCACGACCACTCCCCAGCACGACCCCGCCCCAGCACGAGCCCACCCCAGCACGACCACACCCCAGCACGACCTCACCACAGCGCGACCCCACCCAAGCACGACCCCACCCCAGCAAGACCACACCCCAGCACGACCACACCCCAGCACGACCACACCACAGCGCGACCTCACCACAGCACGACCACACCCCAGCACGACCACGCCCCAGCACGACCACGCCCCAGCACGACCACGCCCCAGCACGACCACCCCCCAGCACGACCAACCCCCCAGCACGACCACCCCCCAGCACGACCACCCCCCAGCACGACCACACCCCAGCACGACCACTCCTCAGCACGACCACACCCCAGCACGACCACACCACAGCACGACCACACCCAGTCGCACTCCCGTGGAATGTTTCGTGGGGTGTCTCGTGGAATGCCGTCGTCGTCCTCGTCCGCGATGTGCTTTGGGTGAGTGGTTGCCTGTTCGTGGGGTGTCTCGTGGAATGTTTCGCGGGGTGTCGCGTGGAATGTTTCGTGAATGTTTCACGGGGTGTCTCGTGGAATGTTTCGTGAGGTGTCTCGTGGAATGTTTCGTGAGGTGTCTCGTGGGATGTTTCGCGGGGTGTCTCGTGGGATGTTTCTTGAGGTGTCGCCCAGTTGGGTATCGTGAAAACGTGACCGTGCTCCACATGTCTATATCCCTTTCCGGGTTCGTGGGTCCATCATGTTTTACACGCTTCGTGGCCCCATAGGAGGCTCCACCGAAGGCCCCAGTGGTCGCATTCGCATGACACCCCCGCACACACTTCGGCACACCCCTCACACGTTTCGTGGCCGCATGAGGAGCTCCACCGAAGGCTCCAGCGGCTGCGCTCGCATGACACCCCCGCAACCATTTCGGCACACCTATCACACGCTTCGTGGCCTCATGAGGAGTTCCACCAAAGGCCCCAGCGGTTGCATGGCACCGCCTCGTCCATTTCGGCGCGCCCCACACACGTTTCGTAGCCCCATCGTGAGCTTCACGGAAGGCCCCAGTGGTAGCGGTCCCATGACACCGCCGCATTTATGTCTACATGTTTCACACGCGTCGCGGCCCCATGAGAGAGAGCACCGAAGGTCCCAGCGGTTGCGAACGCATGGCACCGCCCGTGTCGGCAGATTGTTTACACGCTTCGTGGCCCCATAGGAGGCTCCACCGAAGGCCCCAGTGGTCGCATTCGCATGACACCCCCGCACACACTTCGGCACGCCCCTCACACGTTTCGTGGCCGCATGAGGAGCTCCACCGAAGGCTCCAGCGGCTGCATGACACCCCCGCAACCATTTCTGCACACCTATCACACGCTTCGTGGCCTCATGAGGAGCTCCACCGAAGGCTCCAGCGGCTGCGCTCGCATGGCACCGCCGCATCCATTTCGGCACACTCCTCACACGCTTCGTGGCCCAATAGGGAGCTCCACCGACGGCCTCAGTGGCAGCGTTAGCATGGCACCGCCGCACGCATGTCGGCACACATGTCACACGCTACGTGGCCCCAAAAGGATTTCCACCGAAAGCTGCACGCTGCATGTAGCTGGGTCTTTCGCCAAAATAATTCTGTCGTTGCGAGAGGAGGGGTGCTCACAAAACGACCGTTGTGCCAAACGTGGCGTGTCGCACGTTTCGTGTCTGCGTTTCTCTATGGCGTCTAAAAGTACGGTTATGTGTGTACTAGTATACATACATATGTACATGCATAGACACATTCATCTACATTTGTGTGCACGTATACAAACACACGCTCACACATGTATATATGCATATACATGTGCATAGTTATATACGTATACATATACATGTACGTGAACATATACAAACACCCAGTACGCCTGTACATAGTCATGCACATATGCAAACATGTATATATGCATAAACATACATGTATATGTGTAGATGTCTTGCTGCGTCTATGTCTCTCCCTGTCTCGGTTGGCCTCTCTCTCTCACTAATGCATACCTAGTAGTTTGGTTCTCTCTCTCTCTCTGTATACATGTTTGTCGATCGACGTATGCATAAAATAGGGCTCGATGCCAGTCTGTGTCTCCATGTGTGCTTGGGTACGTACATGCGTGTGCGTGTGTGTCTCAGGGTGCCGTGTCACGTCTGTGTTTGTTTGCCAGGCGCGGTCCTGGAGCGGAAGCCCCGCTGTGGAACGTTTTGCTCTCACGCGACCTCGCCTCCGATACCTGCCCATATCTGGTGGGGGCGGGGGCGAACCCTGTGATTCTCCGAGGGAGCTCCTCGAGTACGACCCCGTGGGCGAGCCGACATTCACTCTGCACTTGAATGAGACCATCGGTCCGTTCGACAAGGAGGTCACTCGGGGCAGGAGATCGACAAAACGGGGATCGGCTCGCTGCGCCGCGCCGCTCGCCCACGGCCTGCTCAGTGCGCGCTGCAGTGCTCGGGCACGCGCGCGCGCGTGCCTCTTGCCATGGAGTGCGCAGCTTGCCTTCGGGCCGCCAGGCCGCCTACTCCAGATTTCGTAATAAAGGGAGGGTTTTTTTTTTCTTTTTCCCGGAAAGGGCTTTGGCCCAGGGTTCTCTTTTAGTTGGTAAACCTAATCCCCCGGTGCCTGCTTGAGGGAGGCCGGCGAATTTTTTCCCTGATAAATAACGAGGTCGAAGGAGGCCGGCGAATTAAAATTTGAGGATGTCTCGAGCGAAACGCTTGTTTTTGAAATCCCGATCGATAAATCACAGGGTGCGGGCCACTTTTTCGTGTGTTGAGGATGTCTCGAGCGAAACGCTTGCTCCGCAGAGTTTGCCGAGGATGTCTCGAGCGAAACGCTTGTTTTGCAGAGCCGACCGCGACGCGGAAAAGCGCCCCGCGCGAAGGAATTTCGATGATGTTTCGACTAATTTGTTTGTTTTTGTACGATTTCCTGGAATTTTGGCAGGATGTCTCGAGCGAAATGCACGACCCCACCCTAGCACGACCATACCCCAGAACGACCACACCCCAGCACGACCAGACCCCAGCACGACCCCACCCCAGCACGACCCCACCCCAGCACGACCATACCCCAGCACGACCACACCCCAGCACGACCCGACCCAGCACGACCCTACCCCAGCAAGACCACACCCCAGCACGACCACACCCCAGCACGACCTCACCACAGCACGACCACACCCCAGCACGACCACGCCCCAGCACGACCACGCCCCAGCACGACCACGCCCCAGCACGACCACCCCCCACACGACCACCCCCCCAGCACGACCACCCCCCAGCACGACCACACCCCAGCACGACCACACCCCAGCACGACCACTCCCCAGCACGACCACACCCCAGCACGACCACACCCCAGCACGACCACACCCCAGCACGACCACACCCCAGCACGACCACACCCCAGCACGACCCGATCGATAAATCACAGGGTGCGGAGCACCCCAGCACGAACCCACCCCAGCACGACCCCACCCCAGCACGACCCCACCCCAGCACGACCACGCCCCAGCATGACCACACCCCAGCACGACCACACCCCAGCACGACCACTCCCCAGCACGACCCCACCCCAGCACGACCCCACCCTAGCACGACCACACCCCAGCACGACCACACCCCAGCACGACCCCACCCCAGCACGATCACACCCCAGCACGACCCCACCCCAGCAAGACCACACCCCAGCACGACCGCACCCCAGCACGACCTTACCACAGCACGACCACACCCCAGCACGACCACGCCCCAGCACGACCACGCCCCAGCACGACCACGCCCCAGCACGACCACGCCCCAGCACGACCACGCCCCAGCACGACCACCCCCCAGCACGACACCCCCCCAGCACGACCACCCCCCAGCACGACCACCCCCCAGCACGACCACACCCCAGCACGACCACTCCCCAGCACGACCACACCGCCTTGGTTGAGTGGTTGCCTGTCGTCGTGGAATGTTTCGTGGGGTGTCTCGTGGAATGTTTCGCGGGGTGTCTCGTGGAATGTTTCGTGAGGTGTCTCGTGGAATGTTTCGTGAGGTGTCTCGTGGGATGTTTCGTGAGGTGTCTCGTGGGATGTTTTCGTGAGGTGTTGCCCCGTTGGGTATCGTGAAAACGTGCCCATGCTCCACATGTCTATATCCCTTTCCGGGTTCGTGGGTCCATCATGTTTTTTTTGGGGGGGGGGGGTCTCTTCCAGGCTATCTTGGAGGGCCTGGGGGGGTCTGGGAACGATGTTCTGGAGGGTCCTCCCACGGGGGAGGCCTGAAGTGGCTTGTCTTGGAGGGTCCAGGCCCCCTCCCTTTTGTTTTTCGAAGTCTGGAGTACTCTTCCGCAGCCTGGCCGGACCCGATCCGACACGCCGGTCGGGACGGCACCTTGCAGGAGGCTCGGGGTCTGGCGCTCAGCTCGTGCTCGACGGGGAGGGGCCCGCGAAGAGCGGTGCTTCGTGTGCCCGAGCGTTCGTGGCCGAGCAGCGGCGCCGGCCCGAGAGGCCTCGGGCGCCTCTGCCGTCGAGGTGCCGCCCCGCACGCATCGCGCTCCGTCCCGCCCCGGGCACTGGAGCAGCCAAGGGCCTCTGGCTGGTGGTGGCCCAGTCGAGACAGGTCTCGGGCGTCCAGGGTCCAGGGTCCTGCCGACGCACGGCCATCGATCGCAGCGTCATGCAGCGCCGCTCGCGGCTGCAGGAGGGAGTCGCCGAACGTTTCGGATCCGTCGCCGTCTCCCCGGCGAGCGGGACCGGTCGACAGGCGCTTGGCCTTGCCCACCAGCGCTCGCGCGCACGTCGGTGGCGGCCAGGGAGGGCGACGACCAGGGGCGGGGTGGGCCTCGTGGCCAGGGCCATGATATCCGTAAGGGCTTCGCCCCACGCCGCCGGCCCCCTTGTCTCGGATCACGGGAGATGCAAAAGCTAAATCATGAGGTCTGGGCGCCGCCGTGCAGCAGTGTCGGGACCTGTTTGTTTTTCGACCCCGACCCTACGGATCTGCGTGAGGGGTGCCGCCGACTTTCAGAAACGTTGCAAATCCCTTATGTTTTTTCCCGGAAAGGGCGGGGGCCCAGGGTTCTCTTTTAGTGGGTAAACCCTTCCCCCGGTGCCAACTTGAAGGAGGCCGGCGAATTTTTTCCCTGATAAATAACGAGGTCGAAGGAGGCCGGCGAATTAAAATTTGAGGATGTCTCGAGCGAAACGCTTGTTTTTGAAATCCCGATCGATAAATCACAGGGTGCGGGCCACTTTTTCGTGTGTTGAGGATGTCTCGAGCGAAACGCTTGCTCCGCAGAGTTTGCCGAGAATGTCTCGAGCGAAACGCTTGTTTTGCAGGGCCGACCGCGACGCGGAAAAGCGCCCCGCGCGAAGGAATTTCGATGATGTCTCGACTAATTCGTTTGTTTTTGTACGATTTCCTGGAATTTTGGCAGGATGTCTCGAGCGAAATGCACGACCCCACCCTAGCACGACCATACCCCAGCACGACCACACCCCAGCACGACCAGACCCCAGCACGACCCCACCCCAGCACGACCCCACCCCAGCACGACCATACCCCAGCACGACCACACCCCAGCACGACCCGACCCCAGCACGACCCTACCCCAGCAAGACCACACCCCAGCACGACCACACCCCAGCACGACCTCACCACAGCACGACCACACCCCAGCACGACCACGCCCCAGCACGACCACGCCACAGCACGACCACGCCCCAGCACAACCACCCCCCAGCACGACCACCCCCCAGCACGGACACCCCCGAGCAAACGACCACCCCCCGCACACGACCACAACCCCCAGCAAGACCACACCCCAGCACGACCACACCCAGCACGACCACTCCCCAGCACGACCACACCCCAGCACGACCACACCCCAGCACGACCACACCCCAGCACGACCCGATCGATAAATCACAGGGTGCGGAGCACCCCAGCACGAACCCACCCCAGCACGACCCCACCCCAGCACGACCCCACCCCAGCACGACCACCCCCCAGCAAGACCACACCCCCGCACGACCACACCCCAGCACGACACACCCCAGCACGACCACTCCCCAGCACGACAGCACGACCCCACCCCAGCACGACCCCAACCTAGCACGAAACCTACACCCCAGCACGAAAAACCACACCCCACACGACCCCACCCAGCACGATCACACCCCCAGCACGACCCCACCCAGCAAGGCCCACAAGCCCCACACGACCGCACCCCACAAGACTTACACAGCACGACCACCAAAGGAACTAATAAACCCCAGCACGACCCCGCCCCAGCACGACTCCGCCCCAGCACGACCACGCCCCAGCACGACCACGCCCCAGCACGACCACCCCCCAGCACGACTACCCCTCCAGCACGACTACCCCTCCAGCACGACCACCCCCCAGCACGACCACCCCCCAGCACGACCACACCCCAGCACGACCACTCCCCAGCACGACCACACCGCCTTGGTTGAGTGGTTGCCTGTCGTCGTGGAATGTATCGTGGGGTGTCTCGTGGAATGTTTCGCGGGGTGTCTCGTGAAATGTTTCGTGAGGTGTCTCGTGGAATGTTTCGTGAGGTGTCTCGTGGGCTGTTTCGTGAGGTGTCTCGTGGGATGTTTCGAGAGGTGTTGCCCAGTTGGGTATCATGAAAACGTGTCCATGCTCCACATGTCTATATCCCTTTCCGGGTTCGTGGGTCCATCATGTTCCGGAAAGGGCGCCTGCCCAGGGTTCTCTTTTAGTAGGTAAACCTGTCCCCGGTGCCTCAACTGAGGTGGGCCGGCGGATTTTTTCTTTGATAAATATCGAGGTCGAGGTGGGCCGGCGGATTGAAATTTGACGATGTCTCAAGCGAAACGCTTGTTCTTCATAATTTGTTGAGGATGTCTCGAGCGAACGCTGGTTTTGCAGAGTTTGGTATGTCTCGAGCGAAACGCTTGTTTTCAGAATGTGTTGAGGATGTCTCGAGCGAAACGCTAGTTTTGCAGAGCCGACCGCGACGCGGAAAAGCGCCCCGCGCGCAGGAATTCCGAGGATGTCTCGCGCGTGCCGCGTTTCGCGCGTAGGAATTTCGAGGATGTCTCGACTAATTCGTTGGTTTTGCCAGGATTTCTTGCGATTGTGAGAGGATGTCTCGAGCGAAACGCTTGTTTTTCATAATTTGTTGAGGATGTCTCGAGCGAAACGCTGGTTTTGCAAAATTGGGGGGTGTCTCGAGCGAGGGCCTCGGGGGGGGGGGGGGGCAGAATTCAAAAGATGTCTCAGGCGAAATGCTTGTTTTCACGTCCCGCTCGCAGGAATTCCGAGGATGTCTCGACTAATTCGTTGGTTTTGCCAGGATTTCTTGCGATTTTGTTTTGACAGG